TCAGTAGATTATGTTTAGACTGTGATACATTAGATGGTGATGGTTGACATTTGAACGTTCAGTAGATTATGTTTAGACTGTGATACATTAGATGGTGATGGTTGACATTTGAACGTTCAGTAGATTATGTTTAGACTGTGATACATTAGATGGTGATGGTTGACATTTGAACGTTCAGTAGATTATGTTTAGACTGTGATACATTAGATGGTGATGGTTGACATTTGAACGTTCAGTAGATTATGTTTAGACTGTGATACATTAGATGGTGATGGTTGACATTTGAACGTTCAGTAGATTATGTTTAGACTGTGATACATTAGATGGTGATGGTTGACATTTGAACGTTCAGTAGATTATGTTTAGACTGTGATACATTAGATGGTGATGGTTGACATTTGAACGTTCAGTAGATTATGTTTAGACTGTGATACATTAGATGGTGATGGTTGACATTTGAACGTTCAGTAGATTATGTTTAGACTGTGATACATTAGATGGTGATGGTTGACATTTGAACGTTCAGTAGATTATGTTTAGACTGTGATACATTAGATGGTGATGGTTGACATTTGAACGTTCAGTAGATTATGTTTAGACTGTGATACATTAGATGGTGATGGTTGACATTTGAACGTTCAGTAGATTATGTTTAGACTGTGATACATTAGATGGTGATGGTTGACATTTGAACGTTCAGTAGATTATGTTTAGACTGTGATACATTAGATGGTGATGGTTGACATTTGAACGTTCAGTAGATTATGTTTAGACTGTGATACATTAGATGGTGATGGTTGACATTTGAACGTTCAGTAGATTATGTTTAGACTGTGATACATTAGATGGTGATGGTTGACATTTGAACGTTCAGTAGATTATGTTTAGACTGTGATACATTAGATGGTGATGGTTGACATTTGAACGTTCAGTAGATTATGTTTAGACTGTGATACATTAGATGGTGATGGTTGACATTTGAACGTTCAGTAGATTATGTTTAGACTGTGATACATTAGATGGTGATGGTTGACATTTGAACGTTCAGTAGATTATGTTTAGACTGTGATACATTAGATGGTGATGGTTGACATTTGAACGTTCAGTAGATTATGTTTAGACTGTGATACATTAGATGGTGATGGTTGACATTTGAACGTTCAGTAGATTATGTTTAGACTGTGATACATTAGATGGTGATGGTTGACATTTGAACGTTCAGTAGATTATGTTTAGACTGTGATACATTAGATGGTGATGGTTGACATTTGAACGTTCAGTAGATTATGTTTAGACTGTGATACATTAGATGGTGATGGTTGACATTTGAACGTTCAGTAGATTATGTTTAGACTGTGATACATTAGATGGTGATGGTTGACATTTGAACGTTCAGTAGATTATGTTTAGACTGTGATACATTAGATGGTGATGGTTGACATTTGAACGTTCAGTAGATTATGTTTAGACTGTGATACATTAGATGGTGATGGTTGACATTTGAACGTTCAGTAGATTATGTTTAGACTGTGATACATTAGATGGTGATGGTTGACATTTGAACGTTCAGTAGATTATGTTTAGACTGTGATACATTAGATGGTGATGGTTGACATTTGAACGTTCAGTAGATTATGTTTAGACTGTGATACATTAGATGGTGATGGTTGACATTTGAACGTTCAGTAGATTATGTTTAGACTGTGATACATTAGATGGTGATGGTTGACATTTGAACGTTCAGTAGATTATGTTTAGACTGTGATACATTAGATGGTGATGGTTGACATTTGAACGTTCAGTAGATTATGTTTAGACTGTGATACATTAGATGGTGATGGTTGACATTTGAACGTTCAGTAGATTATGTTTAGACTGTGATACATTAGATGGTGATGGTTGACATTTGAACGTTCAGTAGATTATGTTTAGACTGTGATACATTAGATGGTGATGGTTGACATTTGAACGTTCAGTAGATTATGTTTAGACTGTGATACATTAGATGGTGATGGTTGACATTTGAACGTTCAGTAGATTATGTTTAGACTGTGATACATTAGATGGTGATGGTTGACATTTGAACGTTCAGTAGATTATGTTTAGACTGTGATACATTAGATGGTGATGGTTGACATTTGAACGTTCAGTAGATTATGTTTAGACTGTGATACATTAGATGGTGATGGTTGACATTTGAACGTTCAGTAGATTATGTTTAGACTGTGATACATTAGATGGTGATGGTTGACATTTGAACGTTCAGTAGATTATGTTTAGACTGTGATACATTAGATGGTGATGGTTGACATTTGAACGTTCAGTAGATTATGTTTAGACTGTGATACATTAGATGGTGATGGTTGACATTTGAACGTTCAGTAGATTATGTTTAGACTGTGATACATTAGATGGTGATGGTTGACATTTGAACGTTCAATAGATTATGTTTAGACTGTGATACATTAGATGGTGATGGTTGACATTTGAACGTTCAATAGATTATGTTTAGACTGTGATACATTAGATGGTGATGGTTGACATTTGAACGTTCAATAGATTATGTTTAGACTGTGATACATTAGATGGTGATGGTTGACATTTGAACGTTCAGTAGATTATGTTTAGACTGTGATACATTAGATGGTGATGGTTGACATTTGAACGTTCAATAGATTATGTTTAGACTGTGATACATTAGATGGTGATGGTTGACATTTGAACGTTCAGTAGATTATGTTTAGACTGTGATACATTAGATGGTGATGGTTGACATTTGAACGTTCAGTAGATTATGTTTAGACTGTGATACATTAGATGGTGATGGTTGACATTTGAACGTTCAGTAGATTATGTTTAGACTGTGATACATTAGATGGTGATGGTTGACATTTGAACGTTCAGTAGATTATGTTTAGACTGTGATACATTAGATGGTGATGGTTGACATTTGAACGTTCAGTAGATTATGTTTAGACTGTGATACATTAGATGGTGATGGTTGACATTTGAACGTTCAATAGATTATGTTTAGACTGTGATACATTAAATGGTGATGGTTGACATTTGAACGTTCAGTAGATTATGTTTAGACTGTGATACATTAAATGGTGATGGTTGACATTTGAACGTTCAATGAATTATGTTTAGACTGTGATACATTAGATGGTGATGGTTGACATTTGAACGTTCAGTAGATTATGTTTAGACTGTGATACATTAAATGGTGATGGTTGACATTTGAACGTTCAATGATTATGTTTAGACTGTGATACATTAGATGGTGATGGTTGACATTTGAACGTTCAGTAGATTATGTTTAGACTGTGATACATTAGATGGTGATGGTTGACATTTGAACGTTCAGTAGATTATGTTTAGACTGTGATACATTAGATGGTGATGGTTGACATTTGAACGTTCAGTAGATTATGTTTAGACTGTGATACATTAAATGGTGATGGTTGACATTTGAACGTTCAGTAGATTATGTTTAGACTGTGATACATTAGATGGTGATGGTTGACATTTGAACGTTCAGTAGATTATGTTTAGACTGTGATACATTAGATGGTGATGGTTGACATTTGAACGTTCAGTAGATTATGTTTAGACTGTGATACATTAGATGGTGATGGTTGACATTTGAACGTTCAGTAGATTATGTTTAGACTGTGATACATTAGATGGTGATGGTTGACATTTGAACGTTCAGTAGATTATGTTTAGACTGTGATACATTAGATGGTGATGGTTGACATTTGAACGTTCAATAGATTATGTTTAGACTGTGATACATTAAACGGTGATGGTTGACATTTGAACGTTCAGTAGATTATGTTTAGACTGTGATACATTAAATGGTGATGGTTGACATTTGAACGTTCAATGAATTATGTTTAGATTGTGATACATTAGATGGTGATGGTTGACATTTGAACGTTCAGTAGATTATGTTTAGACTGTGATACATTAGATGGTGATGGTTGACATTTGAACGTTCAGTAGATTATGTTTAGACTGTGATACATTAGATGGTGATGGTTGACATTTGAACGTTCAGTAGATTATGTTTAGACTGTGATACATTAGATGGTGATGGTTGACATTTGAACGTTCAGTAGATTATGTTTAGACTGTGACATTCTTAGGCACTTTGCTGTGCAAAGTCTCTAACACACAATATCTTAGTCCATTTAACTAGCTACAACCTGCAGCTCCGTGCTACAATAACTCTTTGTGCCAGATAAAGAGTTAAATCACGTCATGCAATCGTTAATGATTATTCATAGATTTCACATTTAAATTTAATCGAAAACCAAAAAGTTGACATACTAGTGTCCAATACTTCATACCAAGTAAGGTCAGAGCCCTGTATTTGTAAGAGTTAGGACACGTATTGTTCTCTGCATTTTATATTATGATCAAGGTGATTGGATAAATATGGTCACATGGGCATCCACCCGCTATTTTTGTTCCAAAAGCACAAATTATAACCATTTTTGACATAGGAGATAAATTATCAAAAAAATGTTTTCAATGATTTAATGTTGCGTTATAATAGCGCCTATCAAAGCGATGAAGAATAGAAATCTACTCGCTCCCTTGTGACAAAAACAGTATTAAAGACATATATAAATTAAATCACTGCATTAAATAAAAACTTTTCTATTATTATGACACCTGTAAACATCTGAACTCTAAAGATAGGGATCGCTGTCTACTCATGAATAAGAAAACACAGAAGAAAATTTGCCTTTTCCCCATTTAATGCTCTATATTGGCTGGCTTTTGGAACATAAATAACGGACGCTAGGCAATTTTACTTCCGGTGTCTCAAGTCTTTCGTATGTAGGACTCGTAGGCAAGTGCCACAACCTTTCGTATGCAGGGCTATGGTATGCAAGTGCCGCAAAGAAACTTTTTCTTCAAGGAAAAAGGGTTTTTAAAGGAGCAAATTATTGCAATCTTATTAATCCCATTTTTTATTGAAAATTTAGGGTGATGTCGTCTTGGTTGCTGCCAAATTTAACGATGGATGGTACAAAGGTATACGGTTGAGAGGATACAAGGTATGATGGGATACACTCGTTCCAGACCCCTGAAATTGTGAGTTAGGACCACGGTTAGGGCACATCATATGACACAGTAGATAGAGAGTTAATCGTTTTTATAAGAAAACCGTCAAACATTTCTCCTTTTGTTCTGCTATGCGTTTTCCCTTTCAATTAACTGCTGTGATAACTGTTAAACGATGATAAACGATGATAAACGACGATAAACGATGATAAACGATGATAAACGATGATAAACGATGATAAACGATGTTTCACTCGACGTTGGCATTAAACTTCCAAATGATCGTGATTTCAAAATCGCATTGTACATTTACTCAATTTGTATAGAATTGAAATTTTCACCCGTGTTTGCCTCGCGTTAGCATTTAGCAAAAATATTCATGTCATGGAATGAGACTTTGCCGACATTTTTGCACGAGGTGAGATCTGTATTCTCCACATAGCGTGAACTTGGAAATTTTAACTTAAATTTTTTCGTTGCAATTTAAACTTGTCGCTGCAACACTTTGTACAAACTGTTTTAACTTTGTGAATTTGCGAGATGTCACAGTGATAAAATTAATATGAGGTCAACCATTGGCCGACAAGCTATCTTTGAAAGGAATTTAGTTGCCCAAAACCTACTGTAAACACGTTGCGGTTCGTTCCTAGCGCCAAACCACGGGGCAAACGTTATCGAATATTAACAAATGAATAATGATATGTTAATTGTTTGCTTCTCAATGTTAATGTGCTTAAAAATATCTACTTATCGCCGTGTCTGTAGTCATCTTGATAGGTCTAAGTGGCAGTTCAAAAGCAATATACATCTTGCAGACGACAGCAGCATACATATGATATAAAGAGCTGCGTTTATTGAGCTGCCAATGATTCTTTAGTCTTAACACACAGGAAAAGTTAATGATTCATGCTCCAACGGAAGCTACATTCAAGCGCGTTTATTTCGAATTCGATTCTTGATGTAAGTATTTTCTGGCAGCTGTAAAGATTTTAATTTGCAATACGTTTTAAAGAGTATCGACTTCCTCGGTCATTCAGTGGACGACTTTTTTAAAACAATGTTTACTTTGCTTGCATGTCTAACAAGTGGATTGAAATAGATTTAGCATTTCGTTGGTTTCTCTGTCATGGAATGTTGTTTGCTATATATATATGTATATGAGAATTTTCTATTGAGGTTGTTTTATAAACTATAAAATCTGTCACTATTATGTGTTTAGGAATGACCGAATGAGATGAGATTTTGTCGTTAATAAATCGTATTATTTACTTAAAAAATATTGTTTGCGGGTTTGTTTTCTACAGATAAATCTTATCAGTCTGGTACGTTTATGTTTTTGTAGTATTCCTATCGTCAAACAATTGCAATTTTCTTTCGTTGCACTCGTAAAAATATACCTAACAAAATGTTTAACATGCATGAACGATATTTCGTACGTGTCTCAAAATCTAAATTATAAGTTCATCAATATTTACTTAAATGATGCTTTCCGGACCGAAAATTTGTTTTTTACTCTGTGAGACCCGATCATTGCATATTGTCGTTAAAATAACCAATTGTACACTGGAGAATATTTGTTCAATACAATCATTTTCTGTGTAATATGCTTGGCTTCATCATGACCATTAACTGTTGAGTTAATGCAAACATTTCATCAATGCAAACATTGTATAATTGAACTCATTGAAAGTGTTCTTTGTCTTCTTCAAACTCGAATAAATATCTTATTGTATTTGTTCGTTTGTTTTTATAACAGCATTTATGATAAATCTGTAGTAATTTCCCTTTTTGTGCTTGTGTTGAATCTTCAAGGATACTATCGATGTATAGCAGTAGCTTAAGCAACGACGATAGTCGACAAACGTCTGGCAATTTGTTTGTGAATTGCCATAATGCAAACAAGATTTTACGCAAGTACAGAATAATGTAAACGGATTATATTTCTAAAGATATAAGTATTACAGGATTATTTATAAGCTAGAAAGGATTTTAAGAGTCTCATCGCTAGACCTCTAGTCTATACTTTATGTTATCTTTGCATTGTTTGATAACGTACAATGTCTTAAACTATTATAAATTATAGGTTGGTTGTTTTCCTGAAGATGTCGTAGAAAAAGATACGGCTGAAAGCGAAAGGTCATTTTCATGTATTTTTGTTTTGTTTATATTCTATACTGATGCATTACCAATTTTAACATTGTCTTTCGTTACAACTAACGTCAATGTAAGTTGAAGTTTCATCAAGCCCAAATATCTTTATTTCATGCAGTTTTTTCTTCACTTTGATCCAATGTAACATATAATAATAGAACCCATCGTAGACTATCCCTTTTACGTCACTTATTTTGTAAACACCTAATGCAAGATGGTAACGGGGGATTTGTGAGATATAGGAAGAGCAGGTTTCATGAAAATTTAAGGTGAAAACTACAAAGACGACGTTTTGTCTAAGGGTACAATCAGTTTTGACAGTGCATTTTTAAATTTTTGTATTTTCTCGTCGCTTTAGCTGCAACGGGCTAGATTTAAATGATGAAATAGGAAAAAGTAATTTATTAGACATGAGTTTAACGGACATCTCAACAACATCTGACATGACGGAGACCTCTAAAGGTAACTGAAGTCATACATTTATATTATTGATGCTTTTTTGGCGGGAACTTGGTGTGGGTTTTCTTTAGTTTACGAAGTATCATGGCTGATGTATTCGTTGTTTTTTCTTGTTTTATTAGAGTTGAACGAGGAATTAAAGAGGACTAGAGCTGCCCAGGTATAAATATCTGTCATTTTCTTCACTTTCTCAAAGATTTATGTATAGTTTCTATGTATACAAGTCGTTTGAGGTTTGACATATAACCAAGGTTAAACTCCGATTAATGTTTTTGTCTGGTGCTAGTTTGAAGATAAAGTGGAACTAACAGAAATATTTTAATTGTTATTTTTTGTGTTGTCGTTTTCAAAGTGAGTTGCAATGATTGAGTTTAGTAAAATTCATTTCATTAGGAAATTTTGTCGACAGAAATTTCATATTGTAATGGCCTGGATTCATTGGTGAAGGTATATGTTGTTTAAAAGTTGATATTTTTCACCCACAACAAGATTATCGAGACTATACAATTGAAAGTTTTATATAGATATTGTAATCTAAGAAAGATTTTTGTTTGTTTTCCTTTTTAGAATTTTATACATCCAATGAAATTATATGGTGTTTTGTCTGTGGAAGAAATCGATATTATTTTCTCCAACATTGAAGTAAGTATTTTTTGTTGTGCCGAACAAAATAGAAAATAAAGCGAACTTTGGTAATTAGTATAGAAAACGTTTTTTTCAGTTTTTGTACTTACCCACGCTGAATATCTCCATTACTTTTAAATTTTTTTCATATTTTCGCCAGTCTTTAGCTGGCATCAGTAAAGAAATGGTTGCTAAGCTAGAAAAACGTATGAGCGAATGGAACGTTGAAACGACAATCATCGGTGATATTTTTGTTGAAATGGTAAAACATTCATCTTGTATGTAACACTTGTTGTTAAGTTCACATATTTTTAAACGCAATTGCACTCATTATCACTATTAGCGTAGTCACAATACAGAAACAAATAGTAATCCCACTTTATTGGAAATTTTTTGTGTAGCACATATCTTATTACGCATGTCATTGGCATAGTGGCAGCCAGTCAATTGCATTTTTTGACCAATAGGAGCGGTGGGCTAACTAACTGCAGCCAGTGAACTAATTAATTATTCAGCACCTAGTTGCACTGTGAAATGAGACTAGTGTTTGTTTGTATACTGTGGCTTAGCCAACCATTTTATTTAATCATGCTTATGCAGATTTTACAATGGCCAGTCACAGTGAAAAAAAATTCCCGAAGAAATGAATAATGATAAAGTTTTTGAAATATGGATAGTGTAACTGAATTTGCGGGCTGGCGACGTCACCGTTTCAAAACTTTTACGATGATAGAAATTGTTTTAACTGTAACTTTCTTCTCCGTTTTTTATGATTTCGTTGTTTTATATTCTAGTTTTCTTATTTGAAAATGTTCAAACCGTATTTTGATTCACGATCAGCTGCAAATCAGGTGAAATTTGACTTTTTGAAATGTAACTTTAGAGTTGTTATAATGCTAAAAATGGAAATGCAAACTTTAGGTTGGTTATGTTGTTGAATAATTATTTGTATATCTTGTACTTTTAGCTCCGAATTCGTTACGAAAAGACCAACGAAAAATTCAAAAATTTCCTGTCAAAAGTACGAGCATTTAGATTGGATTAGTTATTCATCTAGATCTTGTTCATTTACTTAAATAGATCTCATCAATTTACCTCTATGACTCACACACTAATCTCTATAAATGTTTATCTGCATAGGCTAATTGTGCTCATTCATTGGACTCACTTCTCTTAATGCCAATACAGGTATGGTATAATTGTGCGATAGTATGGCAACGTAAACATTTACACTATAGCATCATTCATTTGCTATTGTATTTTTTATCCCAGCGTGTACCTAGATATGAACTTCTTCTTAAAGAGCTGGTGAAAAGAACTTCTAAAGTAACTTGTGATAAAATTCTGTATTTATATACAGGAAATATGTTATGGGAGGCTATCAATGAGTTCATGAAGCTTGGTCTTCATTCTTTAATTTTGATGAATTTTTATGTTGACTGTAGGATCACCCTGACTTTGAATATTTATCTGAAGCATTAGCAAAAGCTCAAGAGGTAAATGAAAGATCAACTGAATTTTTGCATTGCTATGAGTGAAGGGAAAACTGACTTTTAATCTTTACATTGTGGGGTATAGGGTGGAAGGTCTGAGTTTAAGTTTGAAGGAAGTTTTCTTTAATACAGACAGCCACAGACTTGAACGAACACATTCGGCAAATTGAAAACGAAGCAAAAATCTTCGACATTATAAAAATGTTTCCTAACGATGAATTGGTAAGATTTCATTTTGTTGTTATATTTGGTGATGTGTAAGTCCACCATTCAATGATATGTACATCCACCATTCAATGATGGGTATATCCACCATTCAATGACGTGTATGTCCACCATTCAATGATGTGTATGTTCACCATTCAATGATGTGTATGTTCACCATTCAATGATGTGTATATCCACCATTCAATGATGGGTATGTCCACCATTCAATGATGTGTATGTTCACCATTCAATGATGTGTATGTTCACCATTCAATGATGTGTATGTCCACCATTCAATGATGTGTATGTTCACCATTCAATGATGGGTATGTCCACCATTCAATGATGTGTACATCCACCATTCAATGATGTGTATGTTCACCATTCAATGATGTGTATGTCCACCATTCAATGATGTGTATGTCTACCATTCAATGATGGGTATATCCACCATTCAATGATGTGTATGTCCACCATTCAATGATGTGTATGTTCACCATTCAATGATGTGTATGTCCACCATTCAATGATGTGTATGTTCACCATTCAATGATGTGTATGTCCACCATTCAATGATGTGTATGTCTACCATTCAATGATGGGTATATCCACCATTCAATGATGTGTATGTCCACCATTCAATGATGTGTATGTTCACCATTCAATGATGTACATCCACCATTCAATGATGTGTATGTTCACCATTCAATGATGTATGTCCACCATTCATGTGTATGTCTACCATTCAATGATGGGTATATCCACCATTCAATGATGTGTATGTCCACCATTCAATGATGTATGTCCACCATTCAATGATGTGTATGTCCACCATTCAATGATGGGTATGTTCACCATTCAATGATGGGTATGTTCACCATTCAATGATATGTATGTTCACCATTCAATGATGTGTATGTTCACCATTCAATGATGTGTATGTTCACCATTCAATGATGTGTATGTCCACCATTCAATGATGGGTATGTTCACCATTCAATGATGGGTATGTTCACCATTCAATGATATGTATGTTCACCATTCAATGATGTGTATGTTCACCATTCAATGATGGGTATGTCTACCATTCAATGATGTGTATGTCCACCATTCAATCTTTCTTCAAGTCTCCCGATTTCTTATGATTTACAGGATTTAATAATCAGCAACAACAGCAACGACAATAACAACAGCCCGAAGTTAAAAACCTCGAGTAATTCAATCGAAGCTTTATATTATTTTATTCACTAATGGAAATTGTGCATTCTCTAAGACTTTTCTCTGTTGCAGTTAAGTCAAAATCAACTTTAGAGATTCCAAACATGGGAAGAAGGTAAGATTTTCTTCAATGTGCATTTGATAAAATAACACGCTGTTTGCCTATGTACTCCTATAACGCAGAAGAATTCTTTTATTTTTTTCTTTCTTCAAGTAGAACTGTCTCTTTGACGGATCTTGGTAAATTGGCAAGTGGAAACAGCTTGCATCATGCCCCCTCCGATCCCGCATTACACCATCTAAATCACAAACATCGTGATAGTTCAACTCATATCTTTAAGACGAGGCATGTGGACAATACATTGTCAATAACCTTACGTACCTAGCACGTAATTCTTATAAATATTCTTTACAATTTTTGTTTTGTTCCTTTAAGGATGTTCATTCACGAGGGACCCGTACAGAAAGTTGTGTTAAGAAATGTGAATTTGAGTCAAACTGCTGAGCTACCTCAGGAATACTCGGAAAGGTTGGAAAGACATACTTGAACGATTTACGGTCATTTTTAACTTTATTATAAGTGTATAAACTCATAGTTCGAACCATTGAACTAAATATATAACTGGAATGCTACCGTAAGGCGAACACACACTTAATTGAAGTTCCTGTGCTTACCTAAAGTTTCTCGTTTGAGATTATTCTCTTAAAGAATTTCCTTTTGACCGTGCGTGAAAGGATTGGGACTAGTTTAATTTCTGGCTTCAAATTTTGGCGAGAGGCAGCATTCCATTTATATTCAGTTTAGTGATTTGAACCCCATACTTATTCTCATGCAATTTCAAGTTGATAGTGTAGTGGATGGTAAAGAGTAGTAGTGGATGGTAAATGATGGCAGTGGATGGTAAAGGGTGGCAGTGGATGGTAAAGGGTAGTAGTGGGAAGTGGTTAGTAGTTGTGGATATGTTGGGTAGTAGTAGATGGTGGTTGTAGCAGTTTTATTAAACGAAGATATAAAAGTTTTACAGCCAAAGGGTAAATATTGTGGCCTTTGAGGGTTGTGATCTTTTGAATTAAACGTTCATATTCTTCTTTTACGTAGTTGGACACATCACGTGACTTTTCTGCTGTAGTCTTTTACGTAGTTGGACATATCACGTGACTTTTCCGCTGTGTACTCTTTTACGTAGTTTTACAAATCACGTGACTTTTCTGCTGTGTACTCTTGCGTAGTTGGACACATCACGTGACTTTTCTGCTGTGTACTCTTTCACGTAATTGGACACATCACGTGACTTTGCTGCTGTGTACTCTTACGTAGTTGGACAAATCACGTGACGTTTCTGCTGTGTACTCTTTTACGTAGTTGGACACATCACGTGACTTTTCTGCTGTGTACTCTTTCACGTAGTTGGACATATCACGTGACTTTTCTGCTGTGTACTCTTTTACGTAGTTGGACACATCACGTGACTTTTCTGCTGTGTCCTCTTTTACGTAGTTGAACATAACACGTGACTTTTCTGCTTTGTACTCTTTTACGTAGTTGGACATATCACGTGACTTTTCTGCTGTGTACTATTTCACGTAGTTGGATATATCACGTGACGTTTCTGCTGTGTACTCTTTTACGTAGTTGGACACATCACGTGACATTTCTGCTGTGTACTCTTTTACGTAGTTGGACATATCACGTGACTTTTCTGCTGTGTACTCTTTCACGTAGTTGGAAAATCACGTGACTTTTCTGCTTTGTCCAATATAAATGTTGAATGTATGGATTCTAGCGTTCAGTTATATTATTGTGTAAAATTATCTAAGCTATATATCTAACTCGTATTGTTTTGTGTCTTTTAGATATTTGATTTTGTTTTCTGATGTCGTCTTTGTTGCTGTGGTAAGAACAAGTTTTTCTGAAATTTGTGAGAAAGTCTATGAACCCATGTTGTTTTTAGTCATCAGGAAACGTTTTAACCGGAAATAAATTCAAATTAAAAGAAAGAAGTCATCTATCAAAGTGTTGGATAATGAGCGCTGAAAAATTACTACACAGACAAGTTCCACCCGAAGGTAAAGGACTTTTATATGATTTCGAATGATACTTCATGTTACTGTTAGTATATGAGCAAAGATGTATTTTACTTTTCCACAAAGTTGCTTTTTGATTACTTAAAGTTGTATGTCAGTTTTTCGATTGAAGATAAAAATGGAAATCCAGCAATATGTTTTAAATTTCAACTTACTGGACATTCTTTTGATACTAGATTCTTTCACATTAATCTTTTAAGCCGTTCTGCAAATTTTTTCCTGCTGTATAATTTTTTCTGTGTCCATACACTGTGAAAACAAAACTCGTTTCTAAAGAAATGAATGATGATAATGCTCGGAAATTTACACAACTCGACTAAAACTTGCTGGCAAACCACGCAACTGAATTATAATGAAATTATATATAGTTTTTGAATATTTTATTTTTAGCCTTCGTGCTTGGCACACCCAAACGAACATATATATTTATTGCACCCGCCATTAAAGAAAAGAAAACTTGGGAGAAATTGTTACACGAACGAATTGCCGTAGAAAAAGCGAGATTTCTTGAGGTAGCAGTTCTTGACGTATTTATAGGTTTTTTTGAGAGAATTAAGAATGAAAACTTTAAAACAATCTTGTTATAACATTTGTATGTATAATATATGTAGAGATTTTGGTGAATTGTTCAAGTTATATTATGGTTGAAAACTTTTCTCATGCATAGTAACGTTATGTGGCTTGTTAGAAGTGATCACCGTTGTATAGAAATGATCACCGTTGTATAGAAATGATCACCGTTGTACAGAAGTGATCACCGTTGTATAGCAGTGATCACCGTTGTCTAGAAGTGATCACCGTTGTATAGAAGTGATCACCGTTGTATAGAAGTGATCACCGTTGTATAGAAGTGATCACCGTTGTATAGAAGTGATCACCGTTGTATAGAAGTGATCACCGTTGTATAGAAGTGATCACCGTTGTATAGAAGTGATCACCGTTGTATAGAAGTGATCACCGTTGTATAGAAGTGATCACCGTTGTTTAGAAGTGATCACCGTTGTATAGAAGTGATCACCGTTGTATAGAAGTGATCACCGTTGTATAGAAGTGATCACCTTTGTATAGAAGTGATCACCGTTGTATAGAAGTAATCACCGTTGTTTAGAAGTGATCACCGTTGTATAGAAGTGATCACCGTTGTATAGAAGTGATCACCGTTGTATAGAAGTGATCACCGTTGTATAGAAGTGATCACCGTTGTATAGAAGTGATCACCGTTGTATAGAAATGATCACCGTTGTATACAGTGGTGGATCGAGCAGGGATACTTTAGGGAAGTACGTGGCCTAGTTAGCTAAAGTTCAACTGTTAAAACCAATAACCTACTCACCTAATCATTATTAAAAGTGAATATTCTACGTACTTCCCTTTTTTTCAATAGAAAAACGTCTTTTGATCTATAAATATCTGGACTGCTGTTTTGTAACCATAGTCAATAATAGTTATAATGATTGTCAATAAATGTTTAGAGTTAGTTTTTTCATTAAAAGTAACACGAGATTTTATTTTTTTACACCCGTCGATGCACCTCTGTTGACCATTGCCTACGGGTTGAAAATCCCTGTGCACTTCCCCTCCGTAAATTCACCATTGCCTACGGGTTGAAAATCCCTGTGCACTTCCCCTCTGTAAATTCACCATTGCTTGTGCACTTCCCCTCCGTAAATTCACCATTGCTTGTTCAAGTAATGCAGGTCATTTTTAACGTTTTTTTTTAATGTACAGTTGTGGAGAGCAAGACCTGTTCCCAATGAGATTTTTTTGAAAACAATCGTCAAGTCTAAAGTTGAATATCGAGCAATGAATGTTAATGGTATGTGCTTATGAAATGCTTTCATATTGCACGAACGTTTTAACCCATTTTAACGTAAAATGAGCACGCGACATTAAATTGTAGAGTTGGATCTTTGCGTCAATGAAGAAGTTAGTGTTATTGGTTTTCGTAAAATGGTGTATGGATACCTGTAAGTTAAATAATAAATTATAAAATACAATAACTTTATATGTTTATAAATGTAGATTGTCCAGGTTGGTATAGTCCTGAGAAGGACTGTTTTTGTTGTTGTTGTTGACTGTAGTCAACAACAACAAAAACAGTCCATCTCAGGACTATACTAACCTGGACGATCTACATTTACAAACATGTAACGATACTCCCGGGTTCAAACCATTTACTTTATTACAATACTTTTATGTTGAGATTTCTCGTCGAAATGCTCATGAAGTTTACTCCCCCCGTCATCATAATAATTTCACCTTATTTCCAGGGGCTCTATGATCCCGAAAGTGCGCCTTCAGACTGCACTAACGATTGGTACGTTTAGAGTAAAAATTATGATTTTTAAATTTCTTCAATGTTAACATTTTCCTGTCATTTTCAGGTTGCCGGGGGTGAATAGTTTGGGTAAATTTGGCTGGTTTCCCGGTAAAGTCACGTATTTCTTTCATAGACAGCGTGTAAATGAAATTTATAATATTTACGATATTTCTCAGTAAAGACCGAGAAAGCGAGGTCATTAAAAGGTTTATTATATGGCATTATTTGACCTGAAACGAAGCTTGCTTTCTTTCTCGTCATTGCTGTTTTTTACTGGTTGGCTTTCACTTTTCTAGTTTTTGTCAGAAAAAATAAATCGTTTCAAATTTTATCGTCTGGATGGTTAAACTGTTTTCCAAGTGTTTTTTCTTCAAATCACATTCGTAAATGTTTTATGTTCCGTTTATTTTGCGTTTTGTTGTTCGCATTACGAAGTTTGTTTACATTTGACTGTAAAATTACGCGTTTTGGACCGTGGTCGATTACGGGAAAATAATGAACCGGCAAAAATATTTCTGAGCCAATCAAAGCGCGCCATTTAGCCGGAAGTGACGCTTGCCATATAATAAAGTATTTTTAATCAATTTTCTCTTGCTCAAGAAATGGTTTCATTACTGAGATCTTGAAGTCTAAATGATCTGCTTGAAATAATTTCAACACGAGTTACATTTGGTTGTTTTTTCTTTATTTACAGCTGAATGTGTTAATGGCAACTTTAATGACAGCAAAGAGAAGTCCGTCGATCAGGTATTTTTATGTTATTTTATTTATGTAAGTTTTCGTTCAAACGTAATAGGTAAAGGTATTTTAGTATTTTTATATTTGATTTGCTTGCGTTTAAACATTACATCCAACCGATCCCAACTTTATAACCACTGAGATTTTTTATTGTCAAGAAATTATTTCAATTTTTAAAGATTACGCAAGAGGTCAAAGTTTATGTATTCAAAAACAACAATTTCAATAACGATTAGAAATAATTAAACATTGCTTGCAATAACTTTGTTGGACTACAAACGTTGCATTAACTAGAATTTATTTATTATGTAGTAAACATTGTTAACGCTATCGTATTCAAAAAAGTATTTCTACTACATATTCTTTCAAACAGAAAGATTATTCAAACATTGTTCATTCGACTCTTTGTATTTTTTAAGATATCCTTTGTAAACACAATTTTCTGTGATTATTTTACCGCGCTGTGTAGGTTTTTTATTTGCTGACAATGGCTTATGTTGGTTTTGTTTCAGTTTTCTCCTCTGTCCGTCGCCACAGCGCTTCAAATCAAACGAAAAATGATGGAACTGGTATAGAATCATCTAGTTCTTATTCTACTCTAGATAAATCTTTCATTTCTTACATTTGTGATATGCTTTATGTTACATCACCTTACTGTGTTAAGAAATTATTATCTTTTGTTATATCTTTCGCCAGACTTGCTCAAAAATACCTGTAAAATCTTCCCACTCGATAAAAATTCACAAAACTGATGGAACATTCAGGGTAATGATATCGTCCAGCGAATTCTAATCTTTATTCACGTTTGTTTCAACACTCAGATATATGATTGTTAATTATATAATATAATATAATTAATATATAATATAATATAATTAATAATATAATATAATATATACATAATATAATATAATATAATATAATACAATATAATATAATATAATATAATATATATATATAATATAATATAATATATATAATATAATATAATTAATAAATTTATATTATATTATATTTAATTATATTAATGTTTATTATATGATTGTTATTATTGTCACTTTATATATGATTCCTTCATGTAATTTTTCAGACGTGTAAACTAAAACAAGATACAACGACAAGCGATATAATAAAGTACGTGTTCTTGAAGAAAGATGATTTTGAAACCAGTTCATTGGTTTGAAATGGCGATGCATGTTTGACGCATAAATTTTACTACCAACTGCTGAAACAAAGCCATAAATTAAGTAAAAAACAGAGCAAATCCTGCTTTATACCAAAATTACAAAATTTCATTGCCAGATTTATTACCTTTTGAAACACTTTATAAGCAATTCGGTTTGTACAATTTTATAATTTAGAAGCTCATTAACCAATGGCATTTTCATCTAGATATTTTAAATTTAAAATTAACGAGGCATGTATATTTTATTTTTCCTAACCCTCGACGCTTTAATCCACTAATGCAAAACACGTTATGGCATAGATAAGTACTGAGGGAAAATTTATTTTATTGGTTTTCTTTAGTGATCTTCACAAGCACAATCGACATACTGGCTTGGATGTTGAAAAAGATCGCATTGAATTGTGGGAAGAATCAATTGATGGCTCTGGTATTGCACGTACAGTAACTTTTGTACACAGTGGGATAGTTTAATACACACAGTAACAGTTTGTACACAGTAGGACAGTTTAATACACACAGTAACAGTTTGTACACAGTGAGATAGTTTAATACACACAGTAACAGTTTGTACACAGTGGGATAGTTTAATACACACAGTAACAGTTTGTACACAGTGGGATAGTTTGATACACACACTAACAGTTTGTACACAGTGGGATAGTTTAATACACACAGTAGCAGTTTGTACACAGTGGATTGTTTGGTTCAAGGAGTAATAGTTCTGTACACACAGTGATGAGTCTTGTACACACAGTGATAGTTTTGTACACACAGTGATAAGTCTTGTACACACAGTGATAGTTTTGTACACACAGTGATGAGTCTTGTACACACAGTGATGGTTTTGTACACACAGTGATAGTTTTGTACACACAGTGATAAGTCTTGTACACACAGTGATAAGTCTGGTACACACAGTGATAGTTTCGTACCCAAAAACGTTGTTTCAAATTAGCAGACTCTGTGTAAGAACTATTTTAAAATTGCATTTTGGAGAGAGACATTGTCTGTCTTTATTAAGTAATGATATTTCTTAAAAGTCAAAAATATAATTTGTCCACCTTTCTTTCCGTCATGAAACAGTAAACGTCAATTTGCATAATAGCATTACTTGAATACTTTACAAACTAAACAAATTCCAATTACAGACGTCTCGTTTTCTTGATATTCAAGAAAATACAAGAGTTTAGACACAGAATGGATAATATTTCGTGATTTTTACGTATGTTCTTACTTCTTACAGTTAAACGAAAACACAAAGAGGATGAGAATATTATGGCAATTCTTTCATTCTGGGGAGAATATGCTGTAAGATATACAAACCTGCTGTTCATTTGGATATAAACTGTTGAATAAATATAATTTTCCTTTCGTTAGGCACAAATCTCATTCGTAAATCGAATACGTGGTATAAAAGACGACGTGATTGAGTCACTAGAGTCCCCGCAACTTGAATTCGAAGAAACTACGGAAAAACGTCGAGCGTTTAGTTTTGTCTGCAAATCAAACAGTAAAACAGAGTCATTTAAAAAATCGTCATCTTTTAACTAATGTTTTTGTATAATTTATTTTATCAATTCATCCTGTCGGATACTTGCTTGATCCTGTCTAAGTACTTGCTTGATCCTGTTAAGTACCTGATTGATCCTCATGGGTACCTGCTTTAATTCGTCCACTAATTATTTCAATATTTTATATATATTCATATTGCATCAATTTGTTAACCAGACAGGCAACTTAAGAAAACTATTCTTGGATATTTTTTATCAAAACTTTGTAAAAAAGCCATGATAATGTGAAATAATTATTTTTACTTAAGGAACAAAATGTATATATATAACATTAATTTAGAAAAAATTGAACGATAAAATTTAAACAGTTTCAATGTTCACGTAAAAACGTAATCTTCACTTGAAGTATGAAAGTATTTTACTTGAAATGACTACCAAGGGGAATTATAGGTAAGTTAGGCCTAGTTCAAACGTCGAACTTTACATGAGCCGAACGCATTTAAAACAAAACATAGTGAGGAATTTCATCTCATTTTCTTTTGTCTTTAATGCGTTCGGTGCATGTAAAATTCTATACGTTTGAAACAGGTTTTAGTGTTTACTGTTTAACACTATCTTACGTGTGCATCAAGCCATTAACTTTCTATAATTTTTTAGATCTTGTCTTTTTTTATCTGAGGATAAAGTCGACGTCTCTTTCCAAATCGAAACGACTCTGCCGACTCATATATCAGTTTACAAAAATTACCATTGAATTTAGAAAACATTTATGGTATGTTAAAGAAAATAAGTTCAAATTAGTCACAAAAAGATGGATTTTTCTAAATTTAATGATAAAAATATTTATCGAGTCAATAAACTTGTTATGTTTGTGTAGAAAAACAGGAAATAGTTTAGGATAGTATACGTCGGAGAATGAGTTTAAACTAAATTTTTATGAATCAATAACTAGAATACTTTTGTTAAGTATCTACATCTCAAAATGATTTTATCATTGCTTAATAATTAAACTTGAAATGTTTATTTTGGTTTATTTTGTAGGCAGTAGGAGATTATAAGGTCTTAACCATCTGAAGTTATTTTAATTTATCGAGCTTTGTGATTGTTATAAAGTACAAAAACTTTTTCATTTTGCACTTTATAGGAAAGCACTATATGAAATTTTTCTTGAAAGCATCGGCCATTCAATCCTGGTTAATGGTTTGAAGATATTTATATAATAAACATGTGTATTTAACACAGGGTAAGTTCAAATAATTTACTCCACGTATAAAATCGTGAACTTGTCTTATTTGTCTGTGGAGAAGAGTATACTTTTCAGTCAATTTCTTGAACACTTTATTATGCATGCAGAGGAAATATCAATTACCGAAATTTGATATTTGAAATAATTAAATCAACCTAACGCATAAGTACTGACAACATTGCACATGAATAAAAGCTCAAAAGAATGAATTCATAAGAAACGGCTAAAGGGGGTTACTTACTTTCAAAGATCCGTACAGTTTCGTTACCGTGCGAGCGAAATCAAGCACTTCAAATTGCTTCAAATAACCGACGAATTTTAAAATTTCCCAGCTGCATATATATTTCAGCATAATTATGCGGTTATGCCAATATAGAATGAAAAACATTATTTTGCTTAACATTTGAATCTTCAATTAAACTTTCTGAGGGAAGGAGGAAGGAGTATGCAATGAAAAATTTTAAAAAATTTGCTGCTTGCTTTAATTGCTTGATATTTACAAGATAACTGGCTTCAAAACATTGAGTGTTTTGTACCTTTAGGCTATATATTTCAGTAAACAAGAACGCTTTTTGCCACCTATAAGCGATGTTAATTCATACAGTATTATATTGTTACATTGAAAAATTACGACTCTGAGTGCTCGTGTTCAGTGCGTATTTAGACAAAGGCGCATTGACTTCACATATGAAACAATCCTAAAATGTTTCAGATCATATTGTTATAAATGCTTTATATATATCTAAGTCAATAGATAAATTTTAGAGTATATAGTTTAGTGTGGATTGTAGTTGAGAATGATGTTTGCATTGAGTCTGTGGCAGTTAAAATTTTAGCTAGAAAGAAGTTTATACCTTAAACGTTATTACCTCTAAAACGTTTAACCTACTGTAGGTACATTTTCTAGTTTATTAATTTTCATTCATACATTGTTTTGGAGCCCCTGCTCAGCAGTGAAACAGTAGGACATTAATTGTAATTTCCTGTAGGCTGTAGTTGCTATGGACTTTTCGAGGTTCGTTGACTGCACGTACGAAAAATAAAATCATTCCTATAAATAGTTTCGAATTTTATTATTATTAACTGCTGCACATGAGGACTTAGAGATAATAATTAAATAATCATAATGTAGAGGTATTGATAACATTGCAAACTAGTGAAAATTTAATTGTAATGGTTTTAAATAATCTCTGTACTGAGTATAAAGGCCTATTCACACGATCCAATTTTGTAGGATCTTAAAAAACGGATCGCGTGAATACATATAAAGTGAGCCTCCAACAGTCGGATCCGTGAATCTTAAAAATCGAATGGAAATAGAACTTGCTCTATTTTCATCCGACAAAATGGAAGGAAACCGACTTGTCAAATTACATAGATTTGAAAAAGCCTTGAAAACAAGAACAAAAATACGTAAAATCTATCGATAAATGTACAGTGTAACACAAATGGCTATTCACACGATTATAAATATGTAAACGTCTAAATATCAACAAAATTATCGGACCGTCTAAACAAGCAAACGAAAGTCGGAACAGAAACAATTGGATCGTGTGAACGGGCTAAGACATTTGTTGCGTGAGCGATAGTGTAAATTTCTTTCAACTATAAGTTTTAATTCTATTTTTGGTAGGACTTATTATGTTTTCAAACTTAACAAAAGCTTTAGATAATTGCTCATTTAAAGTCCATTTTCTGTGATAATTATTTGTCTCCTGCTTCATTGATTAGCTACGGATTTGAGTGAGAATGAAAATAAACCAAAAGACGAAGATATGAAAACTTAAGGGGGAAGGGAGTTCTTACCTGGTATTGAAATCGCCAATGTACGTGATGTTAGCTCAAGCAAAAGTTATGAGCATCATTCTTCGACATGTAATCTTTCATCTTTGCGACTTCACCAAAATTAGCCTTCATCGCCCTTGGCTATGATAGAAATATGCTGCAACCGATTATACTTCTTGTTATGCTTTTGTTTTAACTATTCCATCGTATGAAAACTTTCAATCGACTTTACGCCTGAATTTTCACAAGTTTGTTCTCAACTTTCTTATTTCGTTACCAAAATCAAATATTTGGCGGAAAAATCGTAACAACTCGTGACTTCATGAACCGTCAACGTGGGGGTAGTCTTCAAAAGACTGAAATAACTTTGCTAAGGTGATAGCCTCGAGACTTTAACAATACGAACGCTGTCGATACAAGCGACACTTACAATTTGCAGTAGAAACGTTGTAATTGGAACTCATAAGAAACGGAAAATTGCTCGATATAACGGGGGTTTGAGCAATCAATGAAGACATCTCAAATTTTGTATAAAACTGGTTACCGTCAGTGAATATTTCATCATTTGCTTATAGGATATTACTCAATTACAATAGTTTCGTTACCTTGCGAGCGAAATCAAGCACTTCAAATTGCTTCAAATGACCGACGAATTTTAAAATTTCCCAGATGCATATATATTTCAGCATAATTATGCGGTTATGCCAATATAGAATGAAACACATTATTTTGCTTAACATTTGAATCTTCAATTAAACTTTCTGAGGGAAGGAGGAAGGAGTATGCAATAAACAATTATAAAAAATTTGCTGCTTGTTTTAATTGCTTGATATTTACAAGATAACTGGCTTCGAAACATTGAGTGTTTTGTACCTTTAGGCTATATATTTTAGTAAACAAGAACGCTTTTTGCCACCTATAAGCGATGTTAATTAATACAGTATTATATTGTTACATTGAAAAATTACGACTCTGAGTGCTCGTGTTCAGTGCGTATTTAGACCAAGGTGCATTGACTTCACATATGAAACAATCCTAAAATGTTTCAGATCATATTGTTATAAATGCTTTATATATATCTGAGGCTATAGATAAATTTTAGAGTATATAGTTTAGTGTGGATTGTAGTTGAGAATGATGTTTGCATTGAGTTTGTGGCTGTTAAAAGTTGAGCCAGAAAAATGTTCACTGTCAACCTTCTTATCTCTAAAATAACCCATTGCAGACACATTTTCTTGACAATTAGTTTTGTTCCTGTTGTGTCATTGTCTTGTAGCCCCGTGCACAGCAGTGAAACAATCCGACTTTAATTCTATTTTCCTGTACGCTGTAGTAATAACATTTCTAGGTTCGTTGACTGCACGTAAGAAAAGTAAAAATATTCCTTTCAATAGTTTCGAAATCTATTATTATTGACTGCTTCATATGAGGACTTAGAGATAATAATTAAATAATCATAATGTAGAAATATTGACAACATTGCAAACTAGTGAAAGTTAAATTGTAATGGTTTTCAATAAGCTCTGTACTGAGTATAAAGGCCTGTTCACACGATCCAATTTTGTAGGATCTTAAAAAACGGATTGCGCGAATACATATAAAGTTAGCCTCAGACAGTCGGATCTGTGAATCTTAAAAATCGAATGGAAATAGAAATAGAACTTGCTCTATTTTCATCCGACAAAATGGAAGGAAACCGACTTGTCAAATTACATAGATTTGAAAATGACTTGAAAACAAGAACAAAAATACGAAAAATCTATCGAT